CCCCAAAACCCCAAAACCCCAAAACCCCAAAACCCCTATAAAACATTTCTAAGTTGAACCGTTTTGAGAGATTTGGTTATAAATCTACGTATTATCTTTATTCCAATGGTGATTCTGGGTAAAAGAAATCTCTGGCAATAAAATCTTTGAACATTTCCAAGGCTCTCTTCGGCTGATCCATTGGGACCATATGCCCAGCATCAAAAACTCTAATCACCGTGAAATCTTTGACTCTCTTATATTGTCCAGCTTCTTCTCCATCAACAATCCATTTTTGATATTCAGCTGATCTGAAAGTATCCTGATGTTCCCAATAAACTTCGTTTGCCCAAGCTTCGCTACCCATCCAATTGCAGATGAAATCTAAGTCTCCGTTATAGACAAGAACTCCTACTCCATTTTCAAGAGCGTACTTTACATGGGGTTGGAAATTATTGACTTGATCTCCTTTCATTTCCTTAAAGACTTCTCCGTTGCACATATAATAAGGCCTATCTCCAACATTGATAATTTCTCTGACATCTTTTCTCTCCAAAAAGTTGACGAAATTACTGAAATCATAGCAAGCAAAGCCTTCACAAGGCTTGGAGATGTCAAAAACATTGAAGGCTTTTGGGCGTCCCACAATGGTGTTCATCATCCATTCACAAACTTTATAGGCAAAATAGTTGTAGCCTGTATCAATTGTCAACTGGCATCCAATAAAGGCTGGGTAAAGAAGCGCACTATGAACCACATTAATAAGATTATGCTCCACGGCAAAATCTCTATAGTATGGATACTGAGTCCTTGGATTTACCCATCCATTTCCGATTGCAGAAGCAATCAGGTTCATGTTGGGGTCTCTTTGTTCAATAATATAAGCAACGATTCCTGGTACATAATGCCCAGCATAACTTTCACCAGCAATATAGAAGTTTCTCCCTTTAAATTCCGGATATTTATCAAAGAATTTAACAAGGAATAGGTACAACGCCTTGTTAACATCATCCTGATCTCTGGCTCTATGTTCTGGCTTTTCAGTTGAGCTGAACCCACTTCCTAGTGGCTGATCAACATACACAACATTAGCAACTTCGTTCCATGAATGTGGATTCTTTCTCAAAGTTAGGTCATCATTAACATACCAAGGTCCATGTTGATAAAAGATGGACATTTGTGATCCACATCCAGGACCTCCTGTTAGCCATAGAACGAGAGGGTCTCTTGAAGGTCTATTTCTTGACCTCATCAGCCAATAAAACATCTCGTCAGTTGGCATAAGCTCAATAAAACCAGCTTCGTGATCTTCTCCCAAGAAGATATCTCTTCCAAGCACAGCTGAAAACAACAAAATTGATCAGACAAATATAAATTTCATAATTTTTATTATACAGAGTCACATATTCATTATTTAAATATTCTCTTGGGGTTTTGGGGTTTTGGGGTTTTGGGGTTTTGGGGTTTTGGGG